TTCCCAAGAAATCGACATTGTTTTAAAGACAAAAGATTTTAGGCGCCTGGGAATTTAAAATAGCATAACTGTCAAAATTACTGCACACGCGAGTGCATAAAGCAAAATTTATGCATTTATTTAATGCACAACAACAGTAATATTATCTACTAGCAATTCGATTTCAATTCCCAGGGGCCTAAAATCTTTTATGCTTAAGAATTGCAAAGTGATTTCTTAGGAAATTCCGAGGTTGCGTTTTTTTTATACACCCTGTATAACATAAATCTCTACCAGACATGAATTCTTCAAGGAGTTAACGGACTTTCCTTTATATTAAACTGATGTTTTTGCCTGGCAAGATGACCCGCTTCGACGAGACTTGTTATGAGGGCAATTTCGGCAAGGTGAAAACACTTGGAAGCTTGAGAAATGATATAATATATTGCTTTGGTATCGATCAAAAATGGCATGAAATCGTTAAGAGAAACTTCGCTTCGTTTAGAAGAAATGCTATACATTCTGTCCACAACAGGTACTGTATTTGGGTCTTTCAAATTTATATATGGCGGCGTAAAATGACACATATGTTCTGTTCGTCCTACAAAGGATATCGAACAAGTTGAGAGCGTCTGTATTGTTTGGTTGCATTTTCCGTATGCTAATCGAGAATGGCATGAAAGTGTATTTCGATACGTGCGTGCGGCGGTATATATATCGATATAGTCGATAAATATCGAAATTTCAAAAAATATCGATATTCGATATCGAAAATATCGAAAACACTGAAAAATATCGAAAGTTTTATCGAAATTATTTCCCGGTAAAATCTAGAAGACACGCGTGGGCAAGTGTTTATCACAAAAGAACACAACCGGACTACCGACCGCTTGAAAACAATAGATGTGTTGATGACTCGTATGAAGATGGAATGTGCACTTATTTGAATAAGTGTAAATAGCAAATAAATCTTTTTAAATTAAAGGGTATCGGCAATAAAAAAAATTATTCACTTATCTGAAAGAGCATGAAAAAATAAGCCGATTGGCCGTTTGCTGCTCTATTCTATCTCATCTGGCTCCGAAGTTATACTTATACGCAAAATGTGTAAAATATAAATTGCTGATTCAGCACAACGTGCGACGTCATCAGTTGGGTAAGAGTATGTTTAATGAATACTAAACTGAAGCATAGCTCAGTTATTAAGGGCCCAAATTAAATGAAATTTCCCATTCTGATTGTACATGATCAGACGCATTGAAAAACACTTCTAAATTTGTTGCCAAGGTAACAATGTCGTTCCCAGGCCCCTTGCGCCAATTTTATAAAACAGCTTTATTCATGGTACTGATAAGGAGAAAATAATATCAGAAGTATGTGTAGTGTACCATAACTTTATTTACACTGGATAGCTCTATCAGTTCTAAACTGTTCTTCCTAGAGGTCCAGTAAGGATCATCTCTTATTGATGCAGTGTTACTACAGGAGGAAACCTAAACTAAACTAACTTTATTTATGCTGGATAGTTCTATCAGTTCTAAACCGTTCTTCCTAGAGGTCCAGTAAGGATCATCTCTTATTGATCCAGATCAACTCATCACCTTGATTAGTGGCAGGAACAATCTCGGCTGTTTCCAGAAGCGCTGCAATTTTGGTTGATGTTAAATTTGAAACCCCAATTGCCTTACAAAGCCCTTTATGTACCAATTCCTCCATTCCCTGAAAAAATCCGTTTCAAAAATCTTTAAAGGTTGCCGTGTGAAAAGGGACAACTCGCCTCTGTAGCTCAGTTGGTTAGAGCGTTGCACCGGAATCGTAGGACCGCAGGCTCGATTCCAGCCAGAGGGCCTATAGTTGTATTTTTCACAACTGTTCCTGGTTAGGTATGAAAATGAAAATTGTACTGTACATAATCTTCCGCTTTTGAACCCTTGAACTGTTAGTTTCTACTGTAGATAAGGGCCCTCAGTAGCTTGACCTAGCCAACCAATTATACTATAAACTCCTGAAATGTGCTGAAATGTGCGTTTTGATGGCATTAGAGACTTTACGATTTTAGGACGGCAACGCGACGGCGACGGCCAAAACAAACTCCGTCAAGTAAATGGTAGTAAAGATAGTTCGTCGTTTATTTTATTTTTCTCATAAATTTGTAAGGCAATTCTCACGCAACTTTGTGCAAAAAATGCCATAAATGCTGCCCTGGAGAATCTAGGACCCCAGAAACCCTATATTAAAATATCACCCAAACTCGTACCCAGGGTATATTTCTCAGACTCCACTTAGCGTGGGCAGGAAGACCCTAAGGCTTTCTTGTGTGTGTGTCCAGGGGGGAGATGCAAGAAACAGTTATGGAGTCTCTATAAGCTCACACGGCAAGGTAGCCCCCAATTATTATGCTTTTTGTCTGCCCGGGGCGAAGATGATTTTAACATGCAAAATACAAAGTTATCTGGTATAAATTAATATAATGTTTTTCAATACTAGGTATATCTGTCAATTTTGATAAAAAAAATTTGAAGGAAAAACGGAAGGATAATTTTAATAATATCTTTAAAAAGATTTTTGGAAGGAAATTTTGCGGGGGAATTCGGGGAAAAGGAAATTTCGGGTTATGGAGAAGGAAATTATTTTTGGGAGTGGAAACACTGCTTTACAGTAAAGCCCAACTTCCAAGAAAAACCCGAACAAGAAGGCCGGATCACGAGGAAGAGTTATTTATTATAAAGCGTCAATATGAGTGGACTTTTAAGAGGATTAAAAAATGTGTATTCACGTTTTCCTCCGACTGTACATCCTACTTTCCTACTTTCATCATGTACTAAAAATATGTCTCGCGAAGGCAGTGATCGAGGCCCACCAAAACTCAACATACCAAAGCCGGAGGACTGTGACTGGGGAAGTAAAAAGATACAGTCACGACTACCGACAGATATCCTGCTACTAACAGTGAATGACAATGAATTTGAAGCTTGCTTTCGCTATGTGGGAAAAGATGGACCTTTTTTTCGTTCTACAAATGATGGAAGGGAATTTTGGTTTGGTCAATTTGATGCTGAGAAAGATGACAAATATACAAAGGTTGCATTGATCAAAACTGCGATGGGAAAAACAGAAACTCTGATCGCTGTCATGTTTGTTGCTGAAATGTTAGAGCCAAAACTAGTCCTTTCTGTCGGGATCTGTGCAACGATGAAACCGGACAAGGTAAACCTTGGCGATGTCGTGATTGCTACCAAATTGATATGTCCAACCTCGTTCCCAGGCTCTTTGCTCTTGGGAAGCAAAGACCCTCGTCGGAGCTGGTCACGTGACCCATAGAAAATTAATAGCCCAAGAGGGGGATGGAAAAGTCTCATATTACATGTTTCCACTTCAGCACTTCGATTGCAAAGAGTGGCCGTTCTGTACAATCATCTAATTCATCTTCGAGAATCATATATACCTCAAACTACTTGCTAAATTGGTTTCTGTTTGCTTTTAAATTATTCAAACATGCTAAAATGCAGATTCTTATAGCAACAGAAAATTAAGGAAATCAAGCAACGAGAACTTATGACTGTACGCTTTGAAATATTTTTATTTTCTCGGGGTTCGCCGGTTCGGGCGTAGTTTCATTTCACGCGTGCGTTTCTGTTCTGGCTCTGATTTTTATAATATGCTTATAATATGCCAATGAATTGTTCTAATATAGACACGGTATAAATTTTGTTAAACAGATGTCTCAAAAGCGACTGTTTATAGGTCATAGAATTAGCGCCTTGCCTTTTTTGTCTGCACGAGTACCTGTTTGTTGAAGTCAAAATATTGCACAGCATCTCCTATAAATTCTATCGCCATTTACCCTCTCCCCTTAAATGCAAAGGAATGACAGCAGAAAAGGTTTAGCAAAGTATTTTTTATTACATCTGGTATAAACTATAAAGTGTCCTACGTTTTATCAGGATATACATAATTCATAAACTGTATATGCACAAGTCTCGCTGTTTTACTGTAACAAACCTTTTAAAGTTTCCATTGGTAGATAGGTTGTTTGCCTCCAGTATTGTTTGGTAAAACAGACTAAACTTCTAAAATGTCGGTTACGGAATACGATAAAGATTAAAGTTGATTTAAATATTGATAACTCACAGCGGCATTAATCCATTATACAAGTCTAAAGAAGCTGGATTATTCTTCAATAAAGCCCTCAATGAACAATGCCAATGTCAATGAAAGGTCTAATATTATACACGTTGCAAATTACTGTATACACAAAATATGAAATAATTTATATAAAGTACAATACCAGTGTCTGGTGCATATATCGTCCTAGATATTCAAGTTGTACCGCACGCACGTGTGATAACAGATAGCTAGTGTCACGAAGCACTACTGGACTAAGATAATACCAAAACTCTTTAATTATTTTCTTTAATTACAATACTCAACAACGATTAATCTCCACGAAATACATCTCACAATTTCACCTAACTCCACAATATCTCACTTCCATGCGGTTCTCTCCTCTAAAAACACATGCACTAAAAGGCGCTAAGACACATACACTAAAAGGCGCTTAAACACATACACTAAAAGGCGCTTCTCTACACTCCCCCCACCTAAAATCAACTTGATTAGTGACTATATCAGTTCACTGGTTAACTCAACACGAAAGTAGGTATAAAATAGTTCAAATCGACAAAGTTCATGCAACACTTCCATTACTATAATAGTGTTTAACTTATCTGTTCACAGTGTTCAATAATCCAACACAGGTACTCCATAACGATCGGGTTGTCTTCGATTCTGTCTTAAGTTATAACGTAAATTTAATGGTTCTGCCTGATCATCGATTCCACGTGGTGCTAAACGTACTCCAGCACGCTCATTAATAAGTTCAATCGTAGACTCATCCGAATCAGAACTTAGCATGTCTTCCGATTCCTCACCCAATGGATTAGCAACTGTTTCTACGACAAACCGTCTTAGATTATTCGCATGTACAACTTTACACTTTCTGCTTTCCAATGACTCTATCTCGCAATCGTTCTCTCGAATGTTAACAATGATGTAAGGACCCGTATACTTTTCATCTAAACCTCGCGCTCGAAAATTCTTTAATAGAACAGTGTCCCCCATGTAAAACCGCTTGTTTTGTTGTGCTCGATACCGTAAATCATAACTACGTTTCTGCTTCTCTTGCGCTTTCTCGATCCTTTTAGTAACCAATTTCCGGAGAATATCTTGTCTCTTCTTTAACTCTTCAACGTATTTGGCTGGACCATGTGTTGGGCTAGATACCAGTTTTTCTTGATCCGTTCCAAATGGCAATCTCACTTCTCTACCATATAACATTTCGAATGGTGTCACACCCGTAGAGGATTGCGTACTAACCCGATAAGCCAGTAACGCATGTGGCAGCTGCTCGTCCCAATCATTTTTCTCTTTGTTTACTCTCATTCTCAACAAGGATTTCAAAATACCATTAAACCGCTCGCACAACCCGTCTGTTTGGGGATGGTAGGCTGTAGTCCGTCTCTTTTCAATTCCAAACATTTCACATAGACTTGCAATCACTTTGGACTCAAAATTACTGCCTTGATCTGTTAGTAGGACTGAGGGCATTCCATGTCTAGCAAAGATGTCTTCCAGGGCTCTCGCAACTGTAACTGCTTCTTGATTTGGCAATGCTACTGCCTCTGCGTACTTTGTGTAGTAATCAACGACTGACAAAATGTATTTGTTTCCTCTACTAGTTGTTTTTAATGGACCAATAATGTCTACACCAATCATATAAAATGGTATGGGTATCACTTCGATTGGCTTCATCGGACTCCGCGGCCTAGGTACTGCTTTATTTTTGGAACAAACTTCACAATTTCTACAAAATTCTTCAACAGCTTTAAAGAATCCAGGCCAATAAAACTTCCGTTGAATCATCTCAAACGTTTTTGCAACGCCTAAATGTCCAACTTGACAGTGGGCTTCTTCCAGTATGTTAGGAGTTAGATAGGTAGGTACCACAATTTGCTCTCGTTCCTTTGCTGTCTTATCAGTCCACTTTCGACATAAGACATGATTTTTGACAACCAATGAATCAAAATTCTTGTATAATGTATCTAGAGTTACACTCACATCAACCGGTTTTTGATCTGGTCTAGAACCACTTTGCACCCATTCTTTAACCAACTGAATATCCTCGTCGAACGTTTGCATGTCTTCAAACTCTTGCCAGGTTGACATCGAAACCAAGATAGTGTTCACAGGTGCACGAGACAAGGCATCCGCATGCTGCATTTTCGTGTTAGGTAGGTGTTCTATCGTATAGTCATATTCTTCCAATTTTAAGATCCAACGAGCTAATTTACCATTTGGATGTTTGATGTCTCGAAGCCATTTCAAAGCCTTATGATCAGTATATATGGTGACCTTTCTCCCATATACATATGGGTGAAAGTATTGTAAAGCCCAGACCACTGCAAATGCTTCCTTTTCTGTAGTTGTCCAGTTCTTTTCAGCACCCGAAAATGCCTTAGATGCAAAAGAAACCACTTTTTCTTCCTCATTTTCATCCTTTTGGGTCAGCACTGCGCCTATGCCCACATCACTCGCATCCGTATACAATATATAGTCTCCATTTAAGTCACGAAATGCCAAAACAGGGGCAGATATAAGTTGTTCTTTCAGTTGTTCGAACGCTCGTTGACAGTTCTTGTCCCAATCAAAGCGGACACCTTTTTGCGTCAGACGATGAAGAGGACCTGCAATGTCACTGAAACCAGAAATAAAACGCCTGTAGTAAGAGGCCATACCCCGGAAACGTCGCAACTCAGTGAGATTCTGTGGGGTAGGAAAAGCACGGATTGCTTCAACTTTGGTCACATTTGGGGCCAGACCAGCAGCAGAAACGGTAAAACCCAAGAAATCCACACTTGGCTTCGCAAAACTACACTTGGACAACTTAAGTCTCAATCCAGCTTTGTCTATGGCCTGCAAGACATCGTCCAAATTCTCCAAATGTTGGTCAAACGTGCGACCCACAACCAAAACATCATCTAAGTAAACCAGACACTTGAGTGGCAAAAGACCATTCAACACAGCAAGCATAAGTCGCTGGAACGTGGGCACAGCATTCGTTAGGCCAAAGGGCATACGCAGGAATTCAAAGTGACCACCCCCTGGAATCACGAAAGCTGTTTTCTCCTGACTAGATTCGTCAACTGGAACCTGCCAATATCCCGAGTCTAGGTCGAGTGTCGAAAAATAC